GGAAGTCATCCGGGGGCAAGTGATCCTTTTCAGGCTGACTCTATTGTAACGGAGCATTTCAGGGTTTGGCATGCACGTGCAACAACGCACAGCGGCCTGTCAGGCAGGTCGGAAACCGAGAACGCGTTTCTGGCCAGCGAAGGCAAAGCAACACCACTACCAACACCACCCCCAGAGAGGAAGTGGCCATGGCATCGAGCGCCTAGCACGGCGGCGGCGCTGAGGAGTGGAAAGAGATAGAAGAGACACTCAGGAGATAGGTAGACGGCGTTACAAATATGGAATACTCTACTTATGCTGTAAAGAACGATACACGGTCAGCACTGTGAACCGTTAAGTACGCCAGCAGTGATTACCTAGCAACACAGTCGTAATCTTTCTGTGCATACTGTTGTCGCTGTTATATGCTCAGAATCCTCAGTTGCTCCTTGCTGCCTGAAAGCGTCTCATCCACGGCCAGAATACTAGCCTATTTTTATCCTGATATGTGACCAGCTAAATCGCCTTCTTCCTGCCTCTCTGCCTTGTTACACTGTATAGAAAGACATGGCTGTAGCTGTCATAATGGCCATGCGAATCTTCTCTTAGGCTCAGTCGAACCACAATCAAAGATGTTACTGAAGCTCCGACTACGGCAGCCGTGTCGGTCGAGTCAGTAAAATCAAAATCATCACTTTCTCGCTTGCCGCCTAGCCGTCTGATGTTCTTGCTGATAGGCGACGTTAGCTCACTCTGCGCGGGAGAGAAGGAGGGCTCTCGACCTTGTCTGTGGCGCCTCCCCAAGTATTCATCGCCATCTAATTATCGCGAGGAGCCTCGTTTCATCATCCACCACGTTGAGTTCATTTCCCCTCAAGACGTGCGGACCCTTATATGCTATGGGATCACAGTCGGCGCCTATGTCTGTGGTCATGGACGACCTATCGGGCCACCCTCTATCTCAATATGGAGCATACGTTTTAATTGGCTGATGAATGCGGCATTCTCTACGTTGGCGCGGTCGCATAACCCGTCATGAGCTGTTTTCACCAGCCCCTCCCACTGCGACCAGAGTGGACCGGACCATGGCCAAGTATTTGGCGGTACCCTTGTTGTTTAGTTTGTGTTTGAATATCTCGATGCAACTATGTGTATGCCAAGGGCTCCGAGCAGATCCCTGGATCACGAAGTGCTTTGGTCTCATCTTGTGTTCTATCTTCTCACATCAAAGTACTTGATTGATGGACCGCAGTGACCAGCAATGGGGCGGTCTGCGTGATGACGTTATCGTTGTGTGAGTTATCAATGGCGGTTTGGCAGCTGCGGAAGCAGCAAGGGGGACTTGAACAACCAATCGCTGGAAGAGAACTTCACGACACAGGGAGAAGTACATGTGTACCAGCAAAGAGAATGCCAATGGGAATGGGAGTTGATCTTCAATATCTGCAATACCCTGAACGACACGATGTTTATGAACAGGATCAAGCTAGATTCCCCAAAGTTCTGGGAGCGAAGGCATGGACCGACCAGATGCTGGAATCGGACGTGCGGTCGCAGCTTAATACCTCTCACCCAGTCCGGAGGACTCAATGCAGTGGGTGCCAAGTTCCTGGAAGCCTTGCCTTGCACAGGTCATGGGTCGCCCCGCGTCGTGTCGTGGGAACGCGCACTGTAGCTTAGTCGAGCACAATCTCTCAAGCCAGGGCCAAACCGCTCCGTGGAAAAGTTGCTGTGGAGAACTAGGACGTACCGCGTTGAGTGTTTCTTCGGACAAAGGAGACCATGCCAACGTTGGGTTCGGAAGAGGTCCATCTAAGCGGCCCGGAACAAGACCATAACACCATAAATTATTATGTTCTCGTGCCTCCCTCCCTCATCTTGCACCTCATCTTTCAGGATCAAGTGATCGCGCGAAGCGGCCGGTGGTCTGGTCGAGCAGCTCGACTGGGAGCACCTATCTCTACAAGGAAGGCCGTCGTCTCATAACTCAAGAAGCAAGTTCACCAGCAAGACGTGGAACGATACGCCCAGGCCACCTCCACGAATCTCGGACTATTCCGACACACACAAGAACGACTGGTGCCAGAGAGACGCAGTTGTCATCTATGGCTCTGATTCCATCTTGCAATCAGACTGCGACGGCATTGCCAACCTAATTATTGGGAGATTAGCTAGAATAGCTACCCTGTACGAGGTATAGGTATTTGACCTGACTAAACCGTTGTATACTCATCAAAGCGCAGTGTAAAGGGGCCAACCTAGGTATTGTGGACCATGGGACCTGGGTGGGGGCGTAGACATCGACAGAGCAAGTACAAGTACATACATAGTATTCGCATTGTCGAGATCAACACCCTCATGCCATTCATTGAAGCGAAGCCGAAGTCATTACTCAGTACGATCAATGTGTCTGTGTCCACAGAATAGCAGTTATAAGTACGAGGTACTTCGTTCTGCTTTGTTTGGTGCCTGGCAGGAGTCTTGGACCCCGGGGACCCTGGAGGCTCTGCATCACCACGGGCATGCGCTTAACTACTTCGAGCAACCGCTGTGAAATTGGATACCTACCTAGGTAAGTGTCTGCCTGCGAAGTTTAACCGTACGTCGAACGCGTAGTTAGCCTACCTCCCTAAGGTTAGCGACAGAAGTACCCAGGTCATAGGAGGCTGGGGTCTACTGCGTATGCAGGCGTCTACCCAGTAAACGACCAACAAAGGGGGTGGAGATTCGAGAGAGGGGGGCCTGAAACCGCACTAATACTTCCTGTGAAACAAGCGGCGGTCCTCATGTACTCGACTCAGTCAAAGACAGCTGAGCTGAGCGGAGTTGAGGTGAACTGAGCTCTACGAGTACCAGGTACGAGGTACGGAGTAACTATCTGTCTACGAGCAGGGCTCCGGAGGCGCCATAGCACCAAACGCAGAACACAACACAACATAACACAACACAGATCAACCTGTTCGCGTCAAGGGTGGACTACTTCCTCGGTACATGCACATAACAACGACACACATCGTCATTATTGTTGTTCGACGGGACCAAAACCAGTGGGCGCACAGTGCAAGTAAGGCTCCTCAAGTGGGATTGCAGAGTCCAGCATCAGCATGAGCAAAGTCCAGCTCCACGACCACACCGGTTCGTACCAGGCCATCACCACCAAGTCGCCTCAGGGCCTGCAGTGTCTCAAGAGGCTGTTCCTCGAATACGACAACGCGAACCCAAGTCGCGCCAACCTCAACAGCCTGTTCTCCAGAGACTTTACCGACAATGAGAATGAGTCGGAGCGGAACATTGGCAGGGACGAGGCGATCCAAACGATCATCTCCACACGCGCAAAGTGCTCGCGGCATCAGATCGACTTGAAACGCGCAACGTGTCTGGTCAATTCGGGATCCAGCCATACCGTCTTCTTTGAGGGCGTGAGGTTCATGATGTTCGCCGCTACTCAGGAAGGTGGTAGCGATGCAGAGCTGCCCGTGGTGGAAGACAAAAGTGATTGGACCAGGGTCCCCTTTGCCGGCAGGATCGAAGTGAGAGTCAAGGAGAATAAGTTCTCACTCAAGGAAGCCGTGGCCGAGATTGTGAGCAGGAGAGTTACGTCGGACAATAGTATGTTAATAAAGCGGGACTTGATGTCGAGGACGAACTCCATGCCGCTCGTCAGTCCGGGCGAGTCCCCCCTCGCCAGGTTGCATTCTACGAGTACCAGCCAGATTGGTCTTCCGACGAACGTGTCCGAGTTACCCGCAGCGATTTCTGCGCCGTCGGGCGATACCAAGTCTCTTCCCCCATACCGCTCTTCGGCGACCGGGACACCAACTGTCACTTCAGGGAGCTCAGTCGATGGGGACCAGTCAGGGAAACGTTGAGAACGGTGCATTAGGGGCCACAGAGAGCTCGGTATCTCTTTCGGACCATCAGGTAGCAAGGCGTCAAAGGATCCTAAACAGCGACAACGCGAGGAAGCTGTCCAACTGGCATCGAACCTGCTTCAAGCCCCTTTGACGTCCATTCATGGTGGTGATACGGTCTTTGGTAGAGGGGCTACTCTTCCCAGCCCACCTCGCATAAATCGTTCGAAGCGGCTCTCTATTCCACCAAAGAAGCCTCTGTAGTCCCGACCGGGCATTTCTGGATTGCGCCAACCGTCTCGGACCCAAATGCTCCAACTACCCATCTCGCGAGCGAGGAGAACATCAGTGGCCAATCTGTCCCCCATAATCACGATTTCCTTGGGGTCATCTGTGACGCCATGATCTCTAAAATATTGTAGAATATCGGGTCCGCAGAATGGTTTTTTGCGATCAGGATGCTGTCTCAAGACAGGGAGGCCAAGTTCCTTCTCCAGCTGCTTGGCCTCAGCCTCGTGTTCTGGAGCAGAAGAGCTTCCTGCGGTATTGGAGACAATGAGGACGCTGTGCGGACTGTGGCTGAACTCTTCGCTCTCTCTGATCTTTTCAATCTTGTTTAGATATGCATGGTGTAATTTAACAGTGTCTGGTGGACACAGTGTGTTGTCCTTGTCTATGACAAGGGCACGAATGGTCGGTTTCTTGCCGGCCGTATTGAGGGAAGGAAGCCAAGGGCCAATCGGTAGCGGGAGTGGGAGAAGAGTTGGAATGGTTCTGTGCGGGAGAAGGCACGACGGCTCATTCAGGGCGTATGCTAGCGTTAGGCGGAGAGCTGGCACATTGGAAAAGAGTGGCATGTCAAAAACACCGACGGGTCTTCCTTCTTGGAACAGGCGGGAGTTGAATGCGAAGGATGGAGAGAAGCAGAAGCAGAAGCAGAGGTGACGTGAATGTCAACCCGACGGAGATAAGCCGGATTTAGCCATGCAACTTTTTTCTGTGGGCTGTTCAGTTCAGTGTTGGCTGCGGTCAACGAGTCTCGACATCAACTCCCACAACTACTTGCCGTCTCCTCAACTTGTTGCTGCTGTTGTCGCCTGTGTCTCGCCTTCGCTCCTTGAACCGCCTCATCCCTCTTCCTCCAGCTCCTGCGACTCGCGGACGCCCAACATGGGCAAACTTACTTCCACCATCGGCATTCCCATCAAGCTGCTCAACGAGGCACAGGTGAATACTAAACAAGCCCCATTCCGATCTGTCTGGCTTGTGCTGACGCAAGTGTTCTACACAGGGCCATGTGGTTACTTTAGAACTCACGTCCGGTCAAGTGTACCGAGGAAAACTGCTCGAAGGTGCGCATTCTTATATTTTCCCGTGAGAGTGTGCATCCCGCCCTCGTTCAAGCCACCGCTCTCGTTTGCACTTGACCACGGTGGCTAACGTCTGCTGAATAAACAGCTGAAGACAACATGAACGTCCAACTAAAGGACATCACCGCCACAGCGCGCGACGGCCGGGTGTCGCATCTTGATCAAGTCTATATTCGAGGAAGCCACGTGCGCTTCTTCATCGTTCCCGATATGCTTCGAAATGCGCCCATGTTCAGATCGAGGGGTACGAGAGGCCGCGGTGTTGGTCTGGCAAGAGGAAGAGCTACAGTCAACCGGGCGCGCGCTGGAAGGAGGAATTAAGCGGGCACGGCTGTCAGTCGGACAACATGGGATAGAAACTGGACAGAGATTCTTCATCAATCGGTCAACCTTTTCGCCTAAATGCGCGAAAACATGGGTTTCGCATGACAGGCACAGCCCTTTGAGTGGCTTCGAGGAAGTGAAAGAGAGACACTGGGAATAGGACCTTGGCAGATGTGGCCGCCCTTCAGAGAACCTGTGAATGATAGCCCAGCTGGGTTCAGGTTCAAAAACCGGCTACAACGAGTGGAAAGCTCTGCGACACGAATGAACGAGGGCACGGGAGGCGTGGCAGCCTCGCTTACGAATGCATTTGAAAGCCTCGCCTGCCAAGGCTGAATATATCAAGAATGAAACGCGTTCCAACTCTACATCACTTGAAGTAGTCAAGAGTAGTTCAGTTCACCTAATTATCCTCGCCGCTGATCCCTAAGATTCTATCTCGGACACCTGTTAGGTCAACCAACTGCAGCGTAGGTACCCAAGGGACCCCGAGCTAAGGAGAAAAGGACACGAAAGCCAAGGCCAAAGGAGGAAGGATGGCGTCCAACCCATCATCACCCACAAAATCCTCCTCCTTCCGCCTCCTAATCCTCTCCCCATCGCCGCGCGATCTAGCATCGATCCCGCCGCTCCGTCCGTTTCTGGAGGCAATTACCGGCTCCAAGCCGTCGGACGACATCGCGTCGTTTGCGGGGTATACGTCTCACCCCCCGTTGAGGCTAAGGACGAAATACTACAGCGCCGACGTGGGTATTTGGTGCGATGAACTCCCTTTCACGACAGAAGCGACGAAGAGCTCCTCGGGGAAGGAGTCGGATCATGCCGGTTGTTCAGGAGGGCTACAGAGGAGCAGTGAGGACGCGGTGGCGGATTCAGAGCCTGTGACGCTGGCGCACTGGAAGGAGCAGATGCTCTCGTCCGAGGCCAGAGAGGTTCGCGCCGTCATCGGCGGGATCATACTCGTCCTCCCCATCGTCGCGTCCTCGCTTCCATCCCCCGACGCGGCAATTCTGGATCAGTATGTCACACTGGTCGAGACGGTCCATGCACTGCGCGAGGCGGTCGAGGACGAAAGCTACGGGCGGGATATTGCTTCTCTCGTGGTACTACAGTCTACGACGCCGGCCATAGGCAAAGTCAAGTTGAGCGAGGCGATGGCGGATTTGGAGGAGGTCTGTTTGTCCGAAAGGGGTATTCTGGGGTGGGATTTTGTCGCTTGGGAGGGTGGTCAGCTCCTGGCCGCAAGTGAAGGGAAACACGGCCAGTCGGTCGACGAGGAAGGGGAGGATGTGGGCGGGGATGGAGACGATGAGAGGAACGAGTTCGGTGAGAAAACGGGGATTAAGAGGGTCATTGAGGCTCTCGAGGGGGTGGATTGGTCTGCATCGCCGCACGCGGATGACGAAAGAGAGGGAGATGATGGGCATGGGGATTTTGATTTTGCTGATTTTGACCAAGGCGAGGATGAGGACGTCGGGGAATTGTTTTCTTCATCATCCAAGAACATATTTGGAAAACGGGCGGTGATCCCAGGGTTTGATTATGAGTTCCAGCGCGAGATGATGGAGTTGAAGATGTCGATGCTTGAAGATGTTGACGACAGTGATGATAATGAGAATAACGAAAAGGTCGAGACGGAGCGAGAAGATGAAGACACCCAGGTCGAACAGCTGCAGGTGTTAATGGAGAGAGTTGTTGCAATCCGCGAGGCAGGATCAGAGATGCCCAGGGCCGAGAGGGACAAGTTTGCCAGGAGGGAGATCAGGAGGATCATGAGGGAGATGGGATAGAGGTTTCCGCCGCGTCTCCTCGAGCAGCATGGCTCGAGCAGGAATTCATGATGACAAGATCTCGGTCTTGCTCTCTCTCTTGAATGCTCGGGCCTCTCGACTGACAAGTGCCCTTTTCGATGCTGTCCGACATACGTGGTCGAATCAGGGCCTTTGACTCGGACAAGAGGGCTGAGTTCTTCATCCTTGCCCGACGACACCCAAGGATCGGATTAGGTCGTTCGCCTCAACATTTCCCGCCATTCAAGATCCCACTCGGTTCTCCAGAAGCTCAGCTTGGCCGTTCTCGAATCAGGCTGATCCTGCGCGTCAACCCATGGGCGGGCTTCTGCTGTGGTTTCCTTCACAAGCTCCTTTCCGCAATGCCCGCTTGTCTGGGGCCCAATTTTGTTGGACTCGGTCGTGATGGCCGGTGAAAACGGCTTTCCGAGGATGGGAGCCTTCATGGCGTTCTCTTCATCCGTCCGGATCGTCAAAGGACAACTTGATCTTCTTGCCTTTCTTCTTTGGTGCAACGGGTCCGATTTTCGCCGCCGGGTGTTTGTCGTCTTTCTCCTTGGGACCGGTTCCCTGTTTTGGAGCTTTGTTCACCGTACTATCACGATCGTCTTCGTCTTCCCCTCCAACAACTTTGCCGACCTTTCTCTTCTTTGAATTCGCCGAGGCGCCAATCCGTGATACCATTTGTCTTTCACTGTGTTCGGGATTTTGCTTTGCTTCCTCTGCCTGAGCCCCAGCTTCCTTTTCGGCGGATTGCTCAGTCTCGTCTCCCCCTTTCATCCTCCGTTCGAGTTCCGCCTTCTCGATGCGCTCACCTCGCTCATCCACAATCACCGGTTCATCCTCTTCGTCGTCACCTGTCTTCAACCTATCCTTCTTCGGCCGAGCGATCTGTACGTTGTGTCTTCCATCAAGGCCTCCCACTTCTCCTCTTAGCCTGCGGAGGAAGGAGGGCTCCTGCTTATTGTATTGTAGATTTTTGGCATTGAATGCCATTTTTTACATCCTCAGCCAAATATTCGCGGTCGACAACTTGCATCTTGAGGGAGCCAGAGGGAGACAAAAGGACTGGCGAGCGGGATGCTGAAGGAGGACATCACGTGGCGATAAGCTCCTTATCGTTGGCATTTTCAATACTGCATCGCGTGTTCGCTGTTCGCTGTTCGCCGTTCGCCTCCTGATGGCGCGATTCAGGACTCTTACCTTGGAGTTCCCACATAATCAACACCGACAATGTCCACCGATTAGGCAATATCGCCTACCTAGATGCTGTGGCCCCCTACGCCCGCGCAGTGTGCGCGAGGCTACATTAGAACTGCGCAGAAATTCAGATTACGCCCACAATTCGCATTGAGAGCGGCCGCCATCCTACAACGACACTATGCCTCGGACGTTCACCGTTCCGATAATGCTTCTCCTACCAATCGAAAGTCGCTCGCGCGGGTCGCAAGTGCCAGATATAATGATATCGGTGTACAACAGTTGAGCGACTATCTCCATCCTCAGGTCTTCCCTTCTGGGGCCACGCGACCACGTCCAGAGCTGGTAGAGTTGGCCAAAGACCATCTGCGCCGGCACGATCTGCTAGGGAAAAATCAGGATAATACTCCGGCTATCGGGTTGGATGTGCCCCCAATCATAGGGAAGGATTTAGACGAGCATTTCACCAAGCTGGGCCTCGATGCATCCGACCCATACCTGTCATACGGCAAGGCATTTGTGCGAGCAAATACCCCTCAGAGACCGCGGAAATGGGTGATTCGAAGTGGGTGGACCAAGTATAACCCTGACATGACGACGGAAGAGGTGGATGCGCCAGACGAGACAATGCTGTCGTTCGACGTGGAAACCATGTGGAGAGAATCGCCGTTCGCGGTCATGGCCACAGCGGCGAGTCCTACAGCTTGGTACGCCTGGATATCACCCTGGTTGCTGGGGGAGACCACAAATCCGAGGCAGTTGGTACCCTTGGGTGACCCAACTAAACCGCGGATTGTCGTTGGCCATAACATTGGCTATGACCGTGCAAGAGTCAAGGAAGAGTACGACCTACAACAGTCACGAAATTTCTTCATCGATACCATGTCGCTGCACGTTGCTGTCAACGGTATGTGTTCTAGGCAGCGGCCAACCTGGATGAAGCATAAGAAGAATCGGGATTTGCGGGACAAGATGTCAGGCGACCACAACTCCATCGAGCTTCAGACAATGCTGGAGACCAAGATGTTGAGCGAGGAAGAGGAGGAACTATGGGTAGGTAGAAGCTCCATCAACTCGTTGCGGGATGTTGCCAAGTTCCACACGGGTATCACAATTGACAAGAGTCAAAGAGACTATTTTGGTGAACTGGACCGAGAAGGTATCGTTCAGCGAATCGAAGAACTTCTTGACTATTGTGCCGCCGATGTGGCCATCACGCACAAAGTCTTTCAGAAAGTTTTTCCCAATTTTCTCGAAACCTGTCCACATCCTGTCAGCTTCGCCGCCCTGCGGCATTTATCGTCCGTCATTCTGCCTGTTGATAAATCTTGGGATGAGTATATCGAGCGAGCGGAAAACACCTATCTACAAAGACTCAAAGATGTCGAGCAGCGCCTTTTACAGTTATCAGATGCGGCGTTGGAAGTCAAGGACAAGCCAGAGGTCTATAATACCGATCCATGGCTGAATCAGCTGGACTGGTCAGGGCAAGAGATTAAATACAAGAAGGCCAAAAAGAAGGGGGAAGCACCCATTCCCGTCGCTCGGCAAAAGAAACCTGGCGCCCCCAAGTGGTACCGAGATTTGTTTACCTCAAATACATCCCCGATCAACTTGACCGTACGGACAAGAATCGCTCCGCTGCTATTGAAGCTGTCTTGGGATGGCAACCCTCTAGTGTGGTCTGACCAGCACGGTTGGACTTTCCGCGTCCCGAACAAGGACATTGGGAGATACGAGCATAGCAACGTTGTCAGCTGTGACATGTCAGAAGAGACCAATCCTAGGCTGAAGTCGGATTTTCAGCATACGTACTTCAAGCTTCCTCACAAGGATGGCCCGAGTGCGCGCTGTGCATCACCGTTAGCCAAAGGTTACTTGCAGTACTTCGAATTGGGTACTCTGTCCTCGAAATTCACTCTGGCGAAGGAGGCCTTGGAGATGAATGCGTCATGCTCATATTGGATCTCGGCCCGAGATAGGATCACCTCTCAGCTGGTCGTCAGAGAAGACGATCGAGATCCTAGTCTGGCCGGCAAGTCCGATCAAGGATTTATCCTTCCTCAAATCATCCCCATGGGTACCATCACTCGACGTGCTGTAGAGAATACATGGCTCACTGCTTCAAACGCCAAATCAAACCGAGTGGGATCTGAGCTAAAGGCAATGATCAAGGCGCCACCGGGTTACTGTTTTGTCGGGGCCGATGTCGATAGCCAGGAACTCTGGATTGCTTCAATTGTGGGCGATGCCCAGTTTCAGCTGCACGGCGGTAATGCTATTGGTTTCATGACCCTGGAAGGCACGAAGGCTGCTGGAACGGATCTGCATTCTAAGACTGCGAAAATTCTGGGCATATCTCGCAACGATGCCAAAGTGTTCAACTACGGTCGGATTTATGGCGCCGGCCTCAAATTCGCGGCGACGCTTCTTCGGCAATTCAACCCCTCTCTATCAGAACAGCAAACAAACGACATTGCGACAAAACTCTACAAGGAGACAAAAGGTACTCGTACAAGACGTAAGATTTTCGGCAACAGCAGCTTCTGGCGCGGAGGCACTGAATCCTTCGTCTTCAACAAACTCGAAGAATTTGCCGAGCAGGAGCGTCCTCGCACCCCGGTGCTGGGGGCAGGAATCACCGAAGCCCTCATGCGGAGATTCATCAATCAAGGCTCGTTCATGACTTCTCGCATCAACTGGGCCATTCAATCCTCGGGCGTTGACTACCTTCATCTTCTAATAGTCAGCATGGATTTCCTAATTCGGCGGTTCAATCTGGACGCTCGCCTCGCGATCACCGTGCACGATGAAATTAGATATCTCGTCAAACACGAGGACAGATACAGAGCCGCCATGGCCTTGCAAATCAGCAATCTTTGGACCAGGGCCATGTTCTCCCAACAAATCGGCATCGACGATCTCCCGCAATGTTGCGCCTTTTTCTCTGCAGTGGACATTGACCACGTTCTCCGCAAGGAAGTCGATATGGATTGCGTCACGCCCAGCCATCCGGAAAAGATCCCCCCCGGCGAGAGTCTAGATATTAGTCAGTTGCTCGACAAAGGGGAAGAGGCGTTCTTGAATCCAGCCATCGTGCCGAAAGACGGGCCGATTGATTTGGACAAATACCCGTACACGCCGAGACAGAGTGTCATGGCAGGTCTGAACAGTTCCGGTGATATTGCTTATATCAAAGCGCAGATCACGAGCGACGATCAAGAGCTGAAAACTATCATTCGGGAAGCCGAGAATGAAGCCTCATCGCCATCCCCGTCTCCATCCGGGGTAGGAGCTTCTGCTGCAGCCGGCAGCACGACGAAAGGCTCGACTGGCTCTGACCCTGGCTCTGGCGCTACTACGGGGTCCTCGCCGAGAAGAGGGAGACGTCCGAAACCCAAAGTCCCCATTCCTCGCCACGCGCAACCGCAGCGCGCAATGCTCATGGAGGTCGAAGATCGCTGGAACATCGGGTATAAAAAGGCCTTTGCGCACGCTAGTGGCCACGGCGGTACCGGTACCGGCGGGCATAAGCCCTGGTTGACGGAGAAGAAGGCACCTGAGTGGTCGAGCCAGTGGGCTCGTGATGGATGGGAGGTCTGAGTCGAGTCGAGTCTTTCTTACATCTAATCTAAGAGACTTCCCCCCTTTACTTGTATGTACGAATCGTCTATGTGCAGCCTTTTGGTATGGACATATCCTCTCTGTGTATCATCTTCATTGGGGGAAAAAAGCTAGCTAGCTAGTCCAGTCCTGGAGGCAGATGTATAATATAGTATGTACCAAAAGGTCCTGTTTGGGCCAAATTTGCAAATGAGCGCATCCTTTTCTCTGTCCTTGGATGTTGGATGCCCAAGACAGGCAAAGAGCTCGTGCAACATGCTTCTTGGAGCGGTTCCGCGGCCACGTACTGTTGTTGATCACTCAGCACAATGGCTAGGTTGTTCATACTCGTCAGTGTCGCCTCATCCTCTGCTCCTAACACTGTCTGTTGTATTCCCATCACTTCTCGAATCCTCGTCTCCGCTGCCTCGTACTTGCCTTGCCCATGTAGAAGTGCAGCTAAGTTACTCATAATCTTCAGCGTGTTCGGGTGCTCCGCTCTGAACATTGTCTGATTAATCCGTATAACTGCTCGATATATCGCCGGCGCCCATTCGTATATGGCTTAATAGCTAAGCGGCATGGCCAGGTGGCTCATCCTTGTCAGTGTGTCCGGGTGCTGGGCTAACTCCGCCATCAGGGTCCGATTTATTATTTCTTCTAATCGAAAGCTCGAATCATATTTGCTCCGGCTCCTGCAAATAGAGCAAACCACGATTCCTGGAAGATTGCTGCTCATCTCCTCCCCAAGCCGATGACCCGCTTTGAAGAATTCCGCGTCGTTGCGAACACCAGTATGGGTATAAAGAAGTAGCTGCTGCTTGAGATCAGCAGTGCTTTCCTGGCTCTCAAAATTAACTGAACAGAATGAGCGACCATTTCGCGACACTCTCGAGTGCTTTCTCGAAGCTGAAGCCAGTCTCGAATTAGTGGGCGAAGGAAGAAGGATGTATTCACCTCTTCGGACGCTGGAACCGCCGCTTGTACCAATGACCTTCGATGTGCTCGGGAGACCAAACGCCAGAAATAGTCGCGGTCCCATGTGGACGTGGTACGGAGGTTGTCGACTGCCTGACCAAGTCCTTCCTCTAATAGTGGAGAATCGACAATGTCACGCTGATCGTCTCTGTCACTTTCTGAGTCTTCCTCATCGGAGTCGCGCGTCTTTCATCGCTGTGAAAATCTGGATCCATGCCGGCAAAGAGGCTGCCGACTGCCAGTCGTGACGAAATATCCATTCATCGACAATATTTGGCGACAGGAACACGGAGAGCGTGAAGAAGCGAGTGACCGAAGCTGATCGCTCAGCCTCGCCATCACAAAATTGCCGAGAAGACATCTCCCACGTCGCCAATGCTGAAACTGTTCTCTCCAGAGCCGCACGGTCCATCCTTTTTGTGTCACCTAGCTTCATCGCCCCGTACTCCCAGGTCCATGACTAGCTGACGGGTTCATTGGCTAAATGAAGGTACTTGTCGGACGAAGTGTATCCAACCAGCTGGACAGACTTATCCTTGTGTAGTAACGTGCATCCCGATGCGACAACATGGTCTGTGCAGATCCACTCAGCCCAACTGCGAATATCGCTCATCGAAATACCAATATTCGATTGCCTAGCCATGGCTCCAACTGGCTTGGTCATGGCTCAAGCCAAATGGCGGGATGCTCAGGCCCGGAAAACGGAAATGGACCTTGTTGAGGTCAGGTTTGGACCAAGGGATTTGGTAATACCATTGTTATGTTCACCAAGTCCATCGACAGAGTACATACATACACCATTCTGAATGTGATTCTGGAAACATGCCCTTTTCGTTCCAACTCCTTATTCATCTCATGCGTCCTCTGTCCTCTTGATCTTCCTGTTCATCTTCCAGCTACTAACGAACTGCGCTTCCTGTTTCTTCCCATCGTTATTGTGGTTCTTTCATCAAGCATATGCCGCCCACCCGCAATACAACACTGCCAAGTTCCTCTCATCTGTGGCCTGCCGGATCAATTCGTTCACGGTGGCTTCTACACTCAGAGCCTTGCCTAGTTTCTTCGCCACCACAGTCAACGCACGATCCGCTTCCGAGGGCTCGGTTTCTTCTCTGCGCGCGGCAATCACGCCAGCAGCGGCGCCAGCGGCACTAGAAAAGGTAGCACCGCCGCCGCCCGTTGTCGACGGAGTTGACGGTCCACCAGCAATACTAGCCGCGTCCGCCGCGGCTTGCTCGTTGTTCTCTTGCATCTTCTGCAGACGTAGTGGGGAGATGGACCACGAGTACAGAGGATCGTAGCGCAGGACGTCCAGAATGGTCATGATTGCTTCTTGATCGTGGCGGAGAGCCTCAAGGGTGAAATTGCAGCACCGTCGGAAGACGCCTTCCACACCGGTGAGACCCATCCCGTCTACTAGGTCACGAGTGAGTCGGAAGGGCACCACCTCGGGCACAGGGAGAACGCGGCCCGCTTCGAAGGCGACGCCCAAGTCGATGTGGACCACTTCTCCAGTTTTCTCGTCGAGGAGGATATTGTGTCCGTGTCGATCTCCCAGTCCAAGGACATGGCCCAAGATGCTCACGGCAGCAGTGGACCGGCTATAGTTCAGACGCTTATAAAACCAGTCATCGGGGTCAAGGAATTTCTCCATAAAGAAAAATCGCATGACCGGGTGGAAGTTGGCGGTGACCGTCTGGTAGGCTCGCACGCGCTGCTCGTGATTCTTGGTCTGCGCCTCCGCGATATCCTTTCTGGCACGACTGGCTTTGTAGTCCTTGGGGTAGTATCGCGCGTGAGCAGGGAGCAGGTACTCATTGAGAGGGATGGTGTTCTGGACAAATTCGATGACGCCCGAGTTCTTGGTTAGTGGGATGACCTTGTAGGTTCGAATGGCGAGGTTGCGTTGTCGTGTGACACGGTGGTCTTTTAAGAGGTTGGAGACTTGTTCAAAGACTTGCTCCATGATAGCGTCCTGTCGAAGATCGTCGTTTCCTCCCTTCAGGAGCAATTTGTGTCGGGACCCATCAGAGGCAGTGATTGTTGCAATTTTGGGAGCCGATACACCGGTGGCAACAGAAATCTCTGGGTCAATCATAGTCGAAGTAGGAACGTTCGAATAATCTCGATCCGCTCGTAAGGCAATGTTCATGGTTGGTGGAGGGATCTTCGTGTTGGGCTTCGTTATTTGAGCTTCTAACGCTGGACCATTTTGCAGCTTTCGCAGTGGGAGTTTAGAGCCACTCTTGAGGTCTTTGTCGGAGAGTCCTTCTACCGCCACCCGATTTAGCGCAACGCAAGTATTGTGAACAGTGGTCCATATGGCCGAGGATGGACTTCGTTCTTTCACGAGTTGAGTTAGTGTGTTTGCTGCCGCGAACCTGGAGGCAGCAACTTCATCCCCAGGCGGAGCTTTGGACTTGCTGGTTGCAAATATCTGGTAAAGACTGTGGTAGGGGTGATCAGAGCAGATACGGAACATTAGATCCTTGAGCAGAACCTGGAAGTCATCCTTGATATCCAACAAACGAGACGACAGCTGATTGACAAGTGGAGCGAATTTGATAGTAGGAACTGAACTGAGGTGCTTGTGGACAGCGGCGTTCGCCGTTGGACTCTCGGCTTGATTTAGCCACAAAGCAATGAAGCGAAGGGTGTCATTGGGATAGTCATCGGACGCCCTCATCGACAACAGGTAATTTTCCAGGCACCGAAGGATGAGATTCTCTCGATTTTGCGAAACCCTTCTCCATTCTTCCTCGTCGAGTTTGTACCAGGTTTTAGCCCTAGCTAAATGTATTTTCAATCTGGCACGCTGTTGCTCACTTTGGGCATTTCTCACCATCATGTCTAGCTCGCGGACTTCGCGCTTTTTCCGATCTCTGATTTTGTTGATTCGCGTAAAGTCATCAAGGTTGTCTGTATCCTGCAGTTGCATGTCGCAAAATGCAGCAAAGTTATGAAAGACTCGCCCCGCTGCAGAGCCTGTGCAAGGCTTCTGTATCTCTCGGATTGCTGGCGCCAGATACCGTTCTATGATCTCGTCCGGTTTCTCGAGACGAGCTTCGGCAATCTTGTGTCCCAGGTCCGTCAGAATGTCGGCTCGCGCGACGTTGATGGCCTGTTGGGAGGCGTCTTTACGTTCTCTTAGGTTCTGTAAGATTCCGATAGAGGCCGAGACTTCTTCTTGTGCCCATAGGGTTTTGGCAAGGTCGTAGTTGATGGCGACGTCTACCTTCAGTCCTACATTTTCAGCCAACTGAGTGAGCTGTGAGAGATACATTGCGCGATTCAGGCGGAATTGTGGCGCCTCGTAACTGGACGCCATGTTCAACGACTGCCGAGTCACTTGAACCTCAAACAGCAGTGCCTGTGGTAGGCTCAAAGCAAATGCGGCCCGCAAGTGATTGTTCCGACGGATGGCGGCGAAAGTCGCCTCCCTGCCGGCCAAGATGGGTGATAATTTATTGAACCTGCCGGCGTCAGTCGTCATGTATGCTTTGTATAGCTGCACTTACTCTGCAAGCTGGGCCTTTTGGTTCCTTAGTACTATTGCCGCACAGGCAGACTCCAGGCTCTCGACCGAGGTCGCACCCACAATTTGCCGTGCTTCTGCCAGTACTGCCAGTTTCCCATGAAGATCACCCAATTGATTTTGCTTTATGATGTCCATCCTGAAAGCATCTCCATGCTGCAGCAACAGCAGGTCCAGCTCCCGAGTGAGACTGATCTTGTTTGAGATGCCGTGCATATTGCGAAACAAGGACGACAAGGTAGTCGACGCTGATGGAGAGTCACCCGTCCAAAAGAGATCCCACTGATCCATGTTGAAGCTATTCTCGGCTGAGTTGGGCTTATGAGACCCTTCATAGTGTTGCTTTACTGCCTCTGATATACCCCGCATATTTGCGGCGCTCAAGGCTAGTGCCGTTGTAAAGGCAACATCACCCAGGGTAGTTTCTGACTCCTCCAACCTCAACTGAGAGTCAAGCATTGCGCTCTGGAAAGATAAAGATTTCTGATTCGCTCCTTCATGGCTCATTTTGTTGATGACTGACATTATATCGTGACTCTGGACATTGCCATAGAAGAAATCAGGATCATCGACGTTTTCATAGATCCTGGAGATGACTCCCGTTGAAACGTCGTTAGGTGTCACGAATGACCTTCGAGAAGAACGACCTGTCTGGAGTTGGGCTTGAGAGTAATGCAGCTCCAAAAAGAGCAGAGCTTCATGCCACATCTGACAATTGCTAGCTGCAATGGCAGCGCTGCTGAAATCCACTTCTAGCCAGGTGTTTCGCTGCGCCATGTTGGTCTCGCCAGGGAGACGGCATTTTCGGAGATACAAGAGCGTGTTCAGCACTAATTTTCTGGCCTCGCTGGGTGACTGCGCCCCTGATTCGAGGGCATCGGAGAACGTCTGGGACAATCTCTCGCGGAGAACTTGGCTGGAGTTGGTTTCGCTGAGTAAAATGAGATGAACGCTATATGGTAGTAGGATACCCGCCGATTCGGGAACCGCATTGATCAGAGGCATGAGGAAACCCAAGATAGGATCACTAGCTGCAATCTCGGAGATCTGGATGAGTAGTTGTGTGGCCCAGTCGCGCGATTTTGCATGAGAACCACCATCTGTTCCTTCTTGTTTGCTCACCAGGCCGGAAGCTAGAGACAGCGGCGCAGGAGGACATGGAAAATTCCTAAATCTCAACTCATGTACAAGGCTTCTGTCGAATTCCGATCCTAAAAAGGCAGATTCATCGGCTTCGTTCAAGTTGCTGGAGATGAGCTGTAGAGTGTTTTCGGCAAAACTCAACGCAGGATAGTCGGACTTCCAGAGTAGATCCACTAGGTAGCGCATGATATTTGTGTGGGAAGAGACCGCTTCTAGGCTGACATCTGGCGACTGACACCGCATTTTCTGTGCTTTGTCATTCGTAGTCGCGGTTAGTCCACGCATGATAAACCCCCGACCAACTACCTGGGCAGCCCAAATGCGGAATGATTTGTCTAGAACAAACCTTCTCAATAGGTTCTCTAGTGTAGCCGAAAATTGAGAAG